GTGCACACCAAGCCTGCAGCCTGTTAGAGATCACACATCCTGTCACTACACAATTAATTATATGGCTCTAAGCATACATGGTTAAATATTTCCTAATACAAATAACTACAAGCAGTATTCTACCATATGCAAACTTATATCACTAAAAGATTATACTGACTACTAAATACAATTTTCCATTGACACTGTTCCACGCTGTCTTTACAAAACAACCATTTCTTTACTTTCAGGTGGAGAGCGCATATGTTTTCTTTTTGTTTTTAGATATTAAAAGTACCTGTTTCTACAAAAATAGAGTTCTTGGTTTTTACATCCCAGCCAATGACAGACCTGGGAAATGGGCTGAATCTGCGATGGTGTCATTTAAACAGAAAGTTACTTTTCATCGTTGAAGAAGGAACATGGATGCTAATATGGATATTCTATTTTGGGGGGGTTAAAACTTAAGAACAGTTCAGTCTGAACTCCAGCATGTTTGTTATCATAAATTGTCAGAGATTACTCTTGAGATAAGAAAGATATTGTAAATTCAAGTGTCTTATAGTAGCTGACGACTGAAAGGTTCAGAACATAGGAAGAAGTCCACCTGTGTGTTCTAAATGGCCTAAATGATGTCAGGTGAGTTTTCCAATTCTAACGTTCCACCAACATTCTATGATACACCATTTTATTAAATAAATATTTAATATTTATTCAAGAAACACCAAAAACCCCATGCACAAAGATTCCCTTTGCCTCTCCCGGAACTTTTAAATGGTGTTTGGACCCCGGGGAAACATTTGCCCCAACATCCTGGAGAGGACACAGGAAAGACAGGTGAGTAATCTCATCTCAGCAGCTACTTCTTTGCAGTGCGTTAGACTTTGCACACAAATTTGCATTAGTTCTCCTTCATAGTAGGCCTTATTTGCTCCCAGTAACAATCCTTTCCTCCTCACAGACAACCACCACATTTCTTGATGAGGAGCAGCTGTGCAAGAAACTAAAGCAGGAACAAAAGGCTACCTGCTAATTATTAAAATACTCAATAAATATTCAATAAATAATTAAACCTCTTGTGTGCAAATGTTACTGATGTGCAAACCTATGGTTAAATCGCTATGCTAAATAAAGTGCTGTACAAATTATAATACAAATAATGATATTAAGGGAGTCCTCTTCCTTACATGCCTACATGGGTTCACTCAGTCTAAAATCATGCTTGTTAGGTTAACTGACCATTCTGAAATGTCCAGATGTGTGAATGTGAAATATTGTGGCGAGCTCAAACAAGGAGGAGACGGAGGTGTCGTTTGGTCTTGCTTCCCGTGAGCTAGCCAGGGAGCACAGCCGTTTATTGACATCTGCAGAAGAACACTGCCGCTAGCTAACGCTCAGCGCGGCAACAGCACAGCAACAACAACAACAACACACAGGGCGCCCTCTGGCCCCGGAAGGACACACCGTCGCAGCGAGAGGGCGTCACCCGTCACTATGGCAACATAAACAAAACAGAACTGTACAAACAGAACCCCGAACAGCCTTGATCCACTACATAGCCCCCACCTAAGGGGTCAGTCGTCCCCGACGACCCCATTACCCCACACAAAGTCCTGCAAACGTCCAGGTGCCTTCTTTTGGCGCACCGGCCAGTCACGACCGGCGGGGGGAAAGTCACTCGGGTCAGAACATGGGGTGCCACCATCATCCCCTGCCCCGGCGTCTGCTGGAGCGAGCGGTCGGTACGGTGAGAGCCTGTCCCGGTGCAAC